TTTAATAAGTGAAGAGACAACTATACCATTGTAACTGTTTAAAGCAAGCTTATTATGTTTTTTTTGTTTTTTTCTCTCTTCCACCCCACCAAGGTTTTTCTTTTAATTTCTTTTAACTGCCTTGGTTTTGTTTTAACTTCAAACCAGCTGAAGATGACACACCTCCTTTCTATATAGCTGGACCATGGTGTTCAGTAACCCAAACAGTATAGTAAAATCACCCTTGTGTAAGGTTAATGTCAAAGGGGGAATATGTAGCAAAACTCCCATTTTTTGTTTTGTTTTTTATTACATTCCCTCCCCTTACCCAACCATTTCTCACTTCTTCTCTCCCTCTCTATTCCCTATAGATAAGTGTAAGTGAGCTAAGACATAGGATAAGCGTCAGCATTTTATTTTGGTAACAAGTTGTATTTGTTTTGTTTTTTCTCCTTCTTTATATTGTATAATTATTATGTTTATATTGATTTTTACTGTTCTATATTACTGTTTTACTGATACTATATGATTTAGGCCTACATATGTAAGTTAGCATAAGTCATGTCAAATTCCATTTTGTTTGTCAAGTCTCCATCTTGTCCCCATGCCCTTTTGTGTAACCTATGACTCACACCTACCCCTCCTATGTAACTTGGTTCCTGAATGAATGGGGATAAATGAGGGTGCTTGAGAGACAATGGCAGTAGGTATAAACATAGCTCCCTCTGAATGACCGAACCATCAAAACCAATACTTGGACCAACAACCCAGCCCTTGGAACCACCCTCAGCATTCAAGAAACAAAAGATGAGGCAACCCACCAATGTGCCAAGGCTGTACTGAGTAAGAACACCTGAGTAAGAACACCTGGAATCCTCTGGAATAGGACTGAGATTGCCTGGACATGCCCTCCCCACAGGAGATCATAGGTAGTCTGCCCCATAACAAGGGGTAGTGAAGACTGACTTCTTGGGACACCCTCTCCATCTGGACCAGCACCATGCCGCACCACCTATCCACCCAGAGGCCCTGCTGGCAACGCCCCTCTGGACAACATCTGCTGGACAAAGACCCCTTTTTCAGCCTGGATAGGTAGCTATCACCCCCACCCTCTCTTCAACCGAGGACTTGGACTCTGTTTCTCTTCCCTACCTGGACTCCAACCCTTCCATTGAGCCTCTTTCTCCTGCTGCCATTGTGAGTGCTTCTGTGTCTGTGTGTGTGGGAGTGTGTGTAGGAACCAAGCTGTACAGTATAGTGTTCATTTAATAAAACTGTTATTTGGACCCCTGAGTTGGGTTTTGCTTTACTACAGTTCCGGCCCTGCTCCAATCTCTGCTCTAACTTCTGTCTCGTTTCTCCCTCTCCTGCTTCTGGCTCACTGCCACCTCCAACACCTGTCCCATGTTCCTGTGGCTCCAGCTGTCCTGAGATCCTCTCTGTCTGCAAACCCCTGTTTCTTTGCCACGGTCTCATCTCCACTGCCTTTTCTCCTGATCTCTGCCACTGTTATTGCCTTGTCCCCACTGCCTTTTCCCCTGATCTCCAAGCTTTCTGCCTCTGTCTCCTGACTGTTTCCCCCTTGCTACTGAGTTTTTTCCCTTGCTTCCACCCTGGCATCGGGTGACCCCAAGTAACCCCGGGGCCACTTGACCTTAAGTAACCCCAAGCCTCATTTCCTAAGCCAGCTTCTCTCTAGTCTACTGGTTCTAATCCCAGTTCCAGCAACTTTCAATCCTTACACTTTCTCTCTCACCTTAACCTTCCGCCAGGTATCCCAAGTACCCCAAACACACACATACATACCGTACCATCCAAGTTAGGAACTCACCTGTGTGTGTAGGTGGGTGGTATGTGTGAACTGGTAAATATACACATACACACATACATGTCATCATGTGCGTGATATACGAACTAGTGATCTGTGTATGTGTACTCACAACTGTGTGTGGGTATTCACAACTGATTGTTGTCTAATTGTTGGTGTGTAGTGTGCTTGAATTGGTGATAGGTATGCATGTGTCTAGGCTGGTTTGGATGTGTATATGCCTGAGTTGGTAATATGTGTGTGTGTATTCACCTAATTGACTCGTGTGTTTGTATATGTGCAATTGTGTCACACCCTCCCTTCTAACAGGGCAATATTCTGATCCTGAGAGTTGGCCTGACCCCACAGGGCAACAGCTGAAACACACAGGATGACCAAAACATAACAGAACTCAAGTCAGCAGAGCCAGCTTTAGGGAAAATGGAGTCCTGGACAAACTTGTATTTTGCTCTCCCGTCTTTCCCCCATCACTGTCCCTCCCTCCCCACATCACTGTGTGTGTTGGGTGTGTGCTTGGGGTGTGTGGGAATGTGTGTGGGGGGGTTAAGGAGTGATGTGTTGTGGGGTGTGGGGGCAGCAGGCAGGGCTGCTTGCACAGGAAGCCCAGCCCACCAGTGGGGCACTACTGCCCAGTGCCACCCATGCCTGCACCCAGTACACTGGTGGCAGCGGCGGGAGGGAAGGGGGAAGGGGGGAGCAGCAGCAGCTGCAGCTCAGTCTCCAACCCCAGCAGGTGGGTGATAGTGATGCCCTTGGCACTCAAGCCAGGGCTGCCCAGCCCCACCACCTTCTCGCTGTGCACTGCTGCCTTGCCTTTGGCCCAGCTTTTGATGCCCCCCTCCCAACCAGTCTTGTGGCCTGAGCCTGCCACTGCCACCAAAGCTCTGCCAGGCTTGGGCTCCTGCTGTGGGTGGAGGCGACTGGGTGCCTCCAGGCTGCTGCCAGCTTTGCTGTCCCCATCAGCCAGTGAGGAGGGCAGCAGGCTTCATGGTACCCTGGCCGCCTACCTGGCCATGACATGCAGCAGCCAGGCATGCACTTGGATGTGGGGGGCCCAGCAGGTCCCTGGGCACTTGGGGTTCTCTGGACCCTGGCGGGAGCCACCCTGTGTACAAGTGAACCAATAGTGGTGGGGGCAGGGGCTGGGCTTGGGCACAACCCCAACAGGCTGAGCATGACAAGCACCAAGAGCAGCCCCTCCTCACCACTGCCACCCAGAGGGCTTTGTATCCTGCTGCCTCAGCTGGCTCCAGTCAGCTCCAGGTGCAGCGAGGAGAGGCAGGCCCCAACTGCCCAGCCCCAGGATTAGTTGCCACTGAAGTCCCCCAGTGGCTTACACCTGCCATAAGTGGCAGAGCATGGCCTGTGCCTGTGTGTGTGGGTGGCTGTGCATGTGTGCATGTGTGGGAGGGTGTGTGGGGGCCCCCCTGACCACAGTGGCCTGGGTAGTCCCCTATACCGCCCACCCTGAAGAATGGCTCAGCAGGTCAGCACTGCTGGTTCCAACTGGTGGGCAGATAAGCCAGCCAGTTACCAAAGACCCAGCCAGCTGTGCAGCAAGGCTCGCTCCTGCCTTTGCTGGGAACTGGATTCATTGAGTTAGCTGTTCTAATCCCACTTCTAATTACTAGGATCTCAAAGTGCTCTAACCTGGACATTTACACTCACTTCCTTCTACACCAGGGGTGGGCAATTATTTCAGGTGGAGGGCCGCTTTCTGAGTTTTGGCAAGCCATCGAGGGCCACATGACAGGCAGCCAGGGGCAGATAAATATTAATTTTCTAAATTTTTTAGGGGCCCTGTGGGCTGGATAGAACAGTCTGGCGGACTGCATCCGGCCCGCGGGCTGCATTTTACCCACCCCTGCTCTACACAAATGGTACAAGCATTCACAAAAGAGTCTTTAAAGTCTATCCATACCCAGGCACCTCAAGAGACAGTTGCATCTTCAGAGGTGCTGCATCTAAAGCAAGGCCGTCCAACCTTTTTGAATGTGGGGCTGGATCATGAACTTTTTATCACTCAGTGGTCTGGCGAACTATATTCAAACACTCTCTGTCCTGGGCCAGAGAGACCCTGCCTGTGCAGCCCTACTGCACCTGCCTGTTACTACTGCAAGGTTCATGGTAGCTGCTGGTGGGCAGAGGCAAGAGAGACCCATTCTGCATCCAGCCAGCTGCTGCCCCAGAGACTGATGGGGAGAAATAAATAGCTCCACATCCCCATCCCCCAAGCAGTGCAGCCCCACGAGCCACAGCTGCCCGAGGGGGGCCAGAGCAAGGCGGCCGCTGCACTGCAGCCCCTCACCCACCAGCCTGCATGGCCTCACTCACCGTGGTGCCCGGTCAACCACACACACAGCCCTGGCAGCCTCAGCGCTGCAAGCCCGGAGCGCGGGGTCCGGCAGACACTGGTTCCCGCTGCCTCACCCCGCAGAGGTCACGCCAGGACCCCACCTGCTGAGGCCCCCCCGGGGCTGCCCTGCCGACCACCCCGCAACTGCCGAGCCTGGCGGGTCCCGGGAGGTGGACAGGACACCAGGGGCAAGGGGCCAAACCGAAGAGAACTAAAAGCAGGCACTGTCCTCAGCTCGTCCTGTCAGGCATGGCTGGGGCAGCCCCGCGCCGTGCAGGCCTTGGGGCGGCAGTGGTGGCAGCACCCTGCCCACATGACAAGCCCAGCCCCGTGTGGGTGAGCAGCTCCCCTCCCCTCCCCCACCAGCCTGTCCCGAGCGAGGGACCTTGGGCATCAGAAAATGGCTTGGTGGGCTGCATGGTGGCCCATGGGCCATATGTTGGACAAGCCTGGCCTAAAGCAACTTCCATTGGTCTGCCATGGAGAAAGCCGGCTGGGTGTCTCTAATGGATACAAACAGCAGCTGCCCATCCATCCATCTACATAGATACACATACATCACCCTCAAGGGATGTGGGTACACAGCTACATCCCATGGCTTAGGGAAACTTCATGGAAGTTTTGCCTAAGTAAAAACTGTGAGACTATATGTATCCATACATACATATATTACAGAGCTGGAGCAACTCCCTAGGTAGATACTGTAGAAATGCATGGCTGTACATGCTGACATCAGGGGGACAAAATACAGACCATGGGGAGTAAGTGCCCCAATGAGGTCAATGGAACTGGCCTTGCCTCTCCAGTAAAGACATTTCAAAAGAGCTGTGTAATCACCTGCTCCTCGAGTCTCCTAAACCTCTCAAAGAAGGGCTTTCGCGGCTCCCCTGGTCCAGCCTCCAGCAGCAAGCTTCCCTGCAGACAGGCAACAGCCAGAAGAAAGCAAATGGGCAGCATCCTCCTCACCCAGCTCATTCTGAAACAGAGAGCAGACCTCACAAAGCTGCTTGGTAGGTCTCAGGAAGGGTTCTTCACTTCTCTCTCTCTCTCTCTCTGGCTTTCTCTAGTCTCTGTGGCTGCTCACTGGCTTTCTTCCTTCGATACTAAGGTCTCACATTCCTTTGCTAAACAAAGTCTGTGGGTTGGCCTGAAAACAGACAGGATCTGCAGACTCCATCAGCATTCCCAAGGAGCCAAGCTTAGCACAGGAGTAGTTCTTACTTCAGGAGCAAATCAGGCTGGAGCAGAGGCCCTGCTAACAGGGAGCAGGAGCAGGGCTAGGGGAGGGGCAGAGATCGGACTGCTCCTGTTTATAAAAGCACTAGGATACCTCTCTCCCCAGCTCTGAGTCAGCCTGGCTGGTTTTATTGGAACACTAGAAACATCTCTGCTCAGCCAGACTTATGTAGGAGCCCAGATGAGCTTTGCAGGAGCGTGGGTCTGCTTGCTTCCTGATCCAAGCCAATGGCTTCCTGCTAGCACTGCTCTGGCTTGGGGTGCAACCAACAACCTTCCATGCAGCACAGCTCACTGGTACAGGAGCAGCAACCCAGATGGCCATTGTCACAGAAAGAGTCATCACACACCAGATCAAATCAATATCCACACCATCCACATTCTGCCAAGGGTCTGCCTGCTGGATATAGAAGCTCACCATAGTCACTTGCTTCAGGAGACTCTGAGGGTAAAGCTCTAAACAGACAGGCACTTGGGAATCATAGACACCTGCTAACTGCCCTCAGAGGCCCCACATAACCTCATCAGGATTCTGCTTTGCAGAGTATGTTGGCTCACATGCACTAATGTAACTGTGTCCACACAGCACTATGAGTTAATTACCAGGCGGATAGGCTAGTTGGCCTCATCACTCTGATGGCTGTGAAACTCAGGCTGAGCTTGGGCCTACTCACAAAAGTTAAAATACAAAATACTAATGACAGTTGCATAGTGCAAGAGGATGTGAGTTTTGTGGCTGGTTCTTCTGAAAAGAAATGATGAGGCATCACTTCCAGCTTATCTTACTATATTCATGATGATTTTAAGCGGGCTCCTGGGTAGTCTGGTAAGTAACTGTATGAAATGTCTATCCTTGATTAATTAGTATGGTAAACATTTATTTTGCAATTAATTCATGTTTATGTGCAGGAAGAGTCATTCTGTATATGTGATAGATGTCTCCTCCTAATTTATTCTTGTTTTGCTTTAGTGGCTCCCAAGGATGACTCCTCAAAAATCTTGTATTTTTCCAGGTTGTTAATCAATTTCCTGATATGTTCCAAACTTAGTAGAAATGGATAACCTCTTGTCACTGAGGAAGGTAATTCATTCAAATTGGGACTTTCTGATAACCAATAATGAGCAGTTTGATTAACAGACTTTCCTGTCAGTTATTGCTTGGGACTCTCTTGGTTTACTACAAGAATGCTGTGAAGACACTGAGTTAAAGGGTGTGGCAGTGAATTTGGAGTGCCTGCCTCTTTAAGGGTGGAGTCAAGTAGCCAGCAGGTGCTTGATTGCAGCAGCCATTTTAAAACACTGGCTGCCTATATAAACATAGCAGTTTGCTATGGGTAGCTGGGTAGAAATATTACTTGGCTGAAAGGTTGTATGAAACATTTTGGTGGTAAGGGTGGGAGCTTATGGGGGTAGTTTGGAGGCTCCTGGTCCTTGGCATGACCTAAAACTGCACCCTGCTGGGGATGGGTGGCTTGGTGGGGCTCCTGGTGGTGTGGGAGTCCCCAGGAAATGCCAGGCTAGTTACCATCCTGGTGAAAGGCAGGTCATAGCACCTTAACCCCTAGCCCACAACGTTGGGTATGAGGGGGCCAGACCTGGCTATGGCCACCTGAGCCCAATGAGGGTATAAGACCCAGGTGGTGCCAGGCATGGCTATGGCCACCTGAGCCTCCACAGAGGAGGGAAACCCCAGAGCCCCAAAGGAGGGGTTAGATGTATAACCCTAGAGAAGGGGTGGTAGTGAGGTCCTGGAAGAGGGTTGAGTAGGGCTGAGGATCAGCCTGAAGGGCACCATATGTGGGTGAGCTGAGTAGGGCTGTGGGACAGCCTGAAGGGCAGCACATGGGGCAACCCCTGGAGAGCAAGTTGAGGGAAGTGTGGAGCCCCAGGAAAGGGGAACAGAGGGCTGGGAGTCCAATATGTGCTGCCAGGGGCCCAGAATATGTTTGTGTATGTTTATGTGAAGTTGCCCCAGGAGGGGCCAGGGCAAGCTTGGTTCAGGTCAGGAACTTGACTGGGCACTATTCAGGTGAGGGTCATAGGAGAGGCCCAAGAGCCTATGTCTGCCACCCAAGGCGTAAGTCAGATAAAGCCTATGACCTAGGGGAGCAGGCTGGAACAAGTTCTCGATGTGAGAGAGACTCTGCGAGAGGGGGTGGAGTGCAAGAGGCGCTAGTGAGAGGAGGGCAGTGTGAATGTGCATATGAAAGAGGCCTGACAGTGAGGGCTAAGCTTAGCCTGGCTGTAGGCTGGGAGCATAATGACACCATGGATGCCATCTGCGAGGCATGGGCTGCAGTGTAGGAAAGGTTTGGAGCTGCAGATAGTGCCCCCTGGCATCAGGGCATGTCAGGGCATGTAATGGGCAGTCTCCTGCATTTACCACCAGTTATGGGAACAGCAAAGTTGTGGCAGGCAAGATGGAGTGGGCTGCCCCATAGAGACAGGTGGACAGGCTAGCATATGACTCAGCCCCAAGCTTACCCCCTGTCACAAAAGGTATAAAAGAGAAGTGAGATGGCTAACAGCATGCACTTCAAGACTGAAAATCCATTCTGACAAGAATGGCTGCTGTGCCCAGCTGATCTGTGGGTGATCAGATCCACACCTTAGAAAAGCTGACAAGACAGACAGACTGCCTCTTTCCCTGTATTGGTGAGAAATTATCATTTATACAGCTAAATACTGGACTTTGCTCTGCTTTAGGCTCATTTAACAGTGAATACTTGTAGTAAATAAAGCCTTTCTGTCATTCACGAAACAAGTTGTCATGCCAGTGACCTAACAACTCAGTAGTGCCAATTAACCACATCTGGATAGTGCTGCAATCAAGCTATGCTGCTTCTACTTTCAAGCAGGCAGCTCAGCCAGGGCAGTGCAGTGCACTTCATAGCAGCATTTCCTGGCATGGTAAGTTATTGAATTTTGAATTGCAGAGAAAGGATTTGTCTTTTGAACCAGTCCCATACGACATGAGCAGAAAGGGCCGGAAATCTACAGAGAGTTGACACCATGGTTGGAAAGGGGGAAGTATAGACTAGATTGGTAGGCAGACAGAAACATGAACAAATAGGCCCAAAGCTGGAAACCAAAAGGCACAGCTAAACCTCTATAGAGCAAGACCAAATGAAAATGCCCCATGACACAGAGAGGACTGGGACCAGCTCCAGCATGATCCCTCCACTCACCCTTTCTCCTTCCTCACCTTTCACTGGTGTGTCACCCTTTCTTGGTGTGGTGTCCCTTTTCCTGGGTTTCCTCCTCCCCTGGTTTCACCACCCCACCAGCTTCAAGCACAGGTCTGATGCATTGTAAATGGAAGTTGGTAGGATTCTTTCCACTGACTTTAGGGAGTTCTGGACCAAACCTTCAGTGTACTCTTATGATCTCCATTAAGTTAATATATATAGCAGGGATGGGCAATTATCTGGGCATGTGAGGGGGAGGGGAATTGTCTGTCGACCCAGGCAAGCCTGGTGGGGCGTGTAGGAGTAATTGGCTTACTTGACTAGAAAAACAGACAAAGACCAGAAGTGCTGATACTGCTTAATTCACTTAAATGTTCTGAGATAAGGAATCCTGCATGCCCCGGGGTATCCTTAGGTTATCTTGATATTATTTACGCACAGAGCAATGTTTGTTTACGTAAACTTCCTAAATTTTTGTGTAATTTACTATTGTTTTGTTTCTCCAAGGTCGTATTTTTTTTATCTCTTTCTCTGTCTTAAGTATAAATATGCTTGTAAACTTAAAGTCTGAGAAATCCTTTGAAACAGACAAGTGGGTGATTCCCCTTGCTGTATGGAATTCTCCCTGTGATCACAGTATAGCCCGAAATAAAGAAAAGCTGGCTCTGTCAGTTCTGATTCAACCACAATGCAAAGTTTGATTTCTTCCACAGGGGGTAGGGAAATTGATCCTGTCAAGTCCCAGGCCCGCCTGCCCATACCCACTGCTGGGGGCGCTGGACAGAATGAGCAGCATCTCCGTGGACACCAGCCCATCCAAGGGGCCACAGGTGGGTGGGCAGTGGCATTGGTGGTGTGTAGGGGGTGCAGGCTGGTGCATGTGCACGCCTTGCAAAAAGCTTCGTCAATGCTGCCAGCGGCATCTGCGAGCAGTTGTCACTGAGCACCTCCCCTGCCCCTGCCCCTGCCACGGCCGAGCACCTCCACTGACACAGCCACAGCTGCCTGTGGGAGCTCCCTGCTTAGTCTGCCCTGCTGCTGACACCACCGTAGCTGCTTGCAGGAGCTCCCCGCTGCTGCCACCACTGCTTGTGGACAGTCACCGTGACCCCCCAGCTTCTGGGGGCACACATTGTTCGTAGGCAGTGGTGTCCAGGAGTGGGATGGCCAGGACCAGGGCTGGGATCACAGGTGTGTGTGTTGTAGCAAGTTTGGGCTTCAGGGGTGGCTGTGACACCCCCTGCAACCCTTATCCCCCCTCACTCCAGCTCCAGGATCCTCCCCTTCTCCTTGTCTGCTACACTTTGATGCAATGGTTTGATCAAAAGGGAGGCTGCCTAAGGGTCATAGAACAAGCCCCAGTTCTGGCTGTAAGCAGGTCCCTCCTGGTTCCCATCATTCTGCCCTTCTCAAGTGAAGCTTGCACTCCTGACCCATCTGTGCCCCCCAGGGCACCTGTAGCCTTAAGAGCTACTCACGGTCTGCAACCTCCCCTACAGCCAAGTTAATACTGCACAGGTGTTACTGTACAGTTGCTCCCTTGTCAGGGCTTTGGACTTCTCAGCCTTCGCCATTTTTCTTTTGCTGGGCCCTCCAGCTCCAGTCCACTGTGCTGTATTGACCTGCTGGCCCCACCACACCCCTTCCCTTCCCCCTCCCCTTCCAGCACAACACACTTACCAGCTGTGCAGCTCTCCATGCTGTATCAGAAATCAGATCAGTATCAGCCAATATGCCTCCTTACCGATAGCTGATTTTTATCACCCCAGAAATCTCTATTGGTGCACCCCTAATTTAAATTTTATTTTTAAAAATATTTTGTCCTGATTTACATGCATTTGCATAATGTGTATATAGGTGATTTCATAATGGCTCAAAAAAAGTCTTACTCTATTATTTGGAGGGGAGGTTTATGAAGGAGGCTTGTGAAGAGGTGTGTGGGGTTTGTGAGGAGGGTGTGCAGGGCTGGGGGGTTTGTGAGGGAGGTCTGTAGAGGGGTGTGGGAGTGTATGTGGGTGGGTATGGGCCCCTCTGCTATATACCCTCCTCCCCCATGGTGAACAGCCCCTGCTGCTGGCTGTAGCAGAGGCAGCAGCAGGTGGTGGGCCCTTGGGGTGCTCATGGCCCACAGCAGGCAGAGCCCTTTTGGGGGTGCGTGGCTCCAACTGAGTCCTGGGAACTGCATGTGGCAGTGCAAAGTCGGCCTGACCTAGCCAGCTGGTACGCACCTTCTGGCCCGACTGGGCTGGCTCTGTGCTGCCATGTACAGCTCCTGGGACTCAGCTGGAGCCACATGCCATTGAGCCAAGCTGGCCCTGCTCCATGCCTCCATGTGAGGCTTTCAGCATTCCAGCAGGGATCTGCACATAAAGGCGTAGAGCCAGCCGGCCTGATGGCATGTGACTCACCAAGTCTTCCAGTCTGTGCACCTTCAGGACAAGTGGGCTCCATGCCTCCACATGCAGTTTTCCACTGGAGTGCTGAAAGCCCCATGTGGAGGCACAGAGCTGGCCTGGCCTGATAGGGCTCCCAGCACTGCAGGTGGGAGCTGTGCATCATGTGCTGGCATGGCGCCAGCCCAGTCAAGCTCAGTAGTGCATGCCAGCTATTGGGCTGAGCTGGCTCCATGCTGCCATGTGCAGCTCCTGGAATTTAGCTGGAGCTGCACAGTGCTAGGGTGTTCTGCCTATCATGGGCCATGAGTGACCCAAGGACTTACTGCCAGCTGCTGCTGCTGCTACTAGTGAGGGCTATCTGCCATGGGGGAGGAGGAGTATATAGTGGGAAAGCCCCCTCCCCACCCACCAGCTGTCCAGTTGCACACCATCAAGCTCAGTGCCTCCACATGGGGCTCCCAGATGGAGTGCCGGGAGCCCCATGGAGGTGGAAGCCCAGAGCCTGCCCGGTCTGATGACACACGACTTCTGAAAGCCTGCCTCCTCCCGGCCTTCAGAGTGGCAGCAGTGTGTTGGTGTAGATGGCAATCCCTGACTTGATTCTGCTGCTGAGATCTGGCACTCCTTTTCACTGAGCGCCAGCTCTTGGGACCGGACAGCTTGGCTTATGTTCACTCACTAACAGGGCACACCCTCTGTCCCACTTGCCACGTCTTCTGATTAAGAAGAGAGGAGGATCCTTGATCGATAACGCTTGCCTATACAAGTGCCCGACATTTCTGGTCCTTGGGGCTCTGCCTCCCCTTAAACCCCATCCTTACAACAACCAGCTCTTACTCTACTGCCAGGCTGCTGGCCATCAGATGGAAACATGGTACCACCAGCCAGCCCCTCAATTGGCCGGACTTGATCCCAGTTAGTAGTCTTTAATTATGTTGGGGAGAGTCTCTCCCCTTCCTGTCCTGTCCATTGCTATGTCTGGCTGAACATCTGTGCCTGGACTCTGCACTGGGCATGCAGGTCATTTTTTACTCACACAGCTGGGAGGCATCAGGCCCATTCTCTGGCCCCTGTATCTAATTATAAGTTCTGCATCCTCTCAGCCTCAGTAGTTAGGGTTTCTACCCCTTAATTCACGGCCTATGGGGCTTTTATTAGTGCCCAACAGGGCTAACCTAGCCAGATTTTAATTCTATCTACACTTAACAACATTACAATTGATACAAAGCCCTGAACTCCCACTTTCCAGAACAGACTCACAATTGGAGCTTGCATTGTTTCCCTGGGTCAGGCAACATCCCTCTGGGCTCTGCGTGGAGTGTCACTCCCTCTTCTTTACCAGGAGTTCAGCTCCCTTGTGCTAGAGGGTCCTCTGAGCCTCTACTCTTGAGCAGGCTTTCTTCTTCTCGCTTCAGTCCTACCAGGATGTCTCTAGTGGGTTATGGAACAGAGAAAGATCCCACACAATTTACTGATTCGTTTGATGCGCCTGGCTGGGGGAGTATTTGGTTGATTGCACGATTTCACAATGATTGCACACTTAATTCATACAATATAATTTTATTTTAAAATTCCTTGCTACACATATAACACTGCTTAGGTTTAAGAAATCCTTCCCAAACAATGCTATAAGAATTACTATTACAAAAACAACTACAATTACAAGTAAAGGTTATTTCTCATGGTATACTTAAAATCCTAGAATTCCTAGAAACCAAATCCCCAGATATAGTTTCATTCTTTAGTTATGGTTTTAGGGTTGGTCTCAGCAGTGATAGGAACAAGTCCCCTTCCTTCAGTCCCACTCAGGCGCTCCATGGCTTCAGCGTGAGCAGGAGTTCTTGTTCATGGAGAGGGTGGTGCAGGTGATCAGTCTGATCCAGGCTACACTTGCGATTCTTCCTTCAATGTTCTGCAAGTGAGGTTACTTCCAAACTGGGACTGTAGGTTACAGTTTTTATTGGGTGGGTTGCTGTCTTGGGCCCCTCCTACCCAAACCTGTCACTATTCCCAAATTTGGGCTCGGATCTTTTACCCAACAGATTCCTTTCCTGGGTTGTCTTTGGGAAATTTTCCACACCGCTGCTGTGACCTCTTGCCAACCCCTTCCCAAAAGCCCCTAGGTTTCGATCTCTCAGAATATTTACCTAAGAGTCACTTTTAGGTTAACTTTGTTAAAGGCCTCTAGAGACAATGTTCAAAAACCAAGACATTCAGCACGTTTGCTGCAAGGCCTCTAAAGATAAAATTCAAAATCAAGACACTTACCACACAGGCAAAAACAAGCAATGACCCTAGATAAAAAGGTGAACCTTGCCTTTTTTTCTAAACTGGCTAATGGGTATTTATTACAAGCATTCAAACTATTACATTCAATATGACACAGGACAAGATTCACTCGGGCTCCACGCTCCTATCACTAGTCCTGGGTCTTTCTCCTTCCTTCTGCCAGTGCGGGGTGCGCTTTTGTCACGTCAGCCCCTGCGTGTCTGCCTATTCACTGCTGGCACAGACTGGTGAAATGGGGTGGATGTAGTGCCTGAGGCTCTCCAGTCCATGCCACTGCTGACCCTGCAGGTGAGTCCTGGAGCCCGGGAGGTTTACGGGCATTCTAACGCCATCTTGGGGGCCCAGTGGGGGTGCTTCTTGGGGTCTCACTACCCTGGGGCCACTTGCCTGGGGGCTCCCTGCTACCACAGTCAGTAATAACTATTTTTTAGAGGCGCCCTGAGGGCCAGATAGAAAGGCCTGGTGGGCCAGATTTGGCCCACCCCTGCGCTACTGAGACCTCTGCCAATCCCTGATGATCCCAAACCACCAGAATAACTATAATGAAAACATAAGCCTGCTAGCTACAGCACAAACTAAATCTGTACCAGGACCAAGCATAAACAGCAAATTACTGTCAGAGCAGCAAGGCTTCCCCTTACCCTGGCTTGCAGCTCTGTGTTAGCCATTGATGTTGTGGCCTATTTGTTCTGGTTTCTCCCCTTAAAATAACAGGAGCAACTCAGTTTCCTCCATCAGTCAAGAGACAGACAGCCATCCTATTGTTTGGTCCACGGCATGAGCCTGGATAAATTTTGTGAAACTCATCAACTTGAAGCAATTTCCAGGGACCAAAAAAAAAAAATCATTCAAATATCTTGTTCTGTGATTAGTTAGAAACCCAAGAGCTGAACCCCAACCCTACCTGCCCATCCTGTTCCTAGATGCAGCTCCCCACCCATCTGCAGCCTCATTCTTTCCAGCTGGCCAAGTGCCCTGCCCGTGCAGGTCCCAGTTGGCCTCCTTGGAGACCCTGGGATTCCAGGGCAGTGACAGTGCAGGGCTGGGGCCTGGGGCACCGCTCTCTTCCGTTCCACGCATGCCCCTGCCCACAGAACCAGTGCTTGTTGCAGGGGCATGCAGGGATCAGCTCTGTCTTAGCCCCAGGCCAGCCCTGCACTGTCACAGACCTGCAATCCCATCCTGCTCCTGGACACCGTTCCCTGATGCTTCTCACTGCCTGCCTGTGGTTCCATCCCAGCCAAGAATGGAGCAATGCCACTTTGGGAGTTTTCATGGAATGTTGAGGGGCAACACTGACCTGACATGGGTGGGGAGGGTGCTGTTTACTTGGCTCATAACAGGTCACCAAAACTCCCTAAGTGCTCCTCAACCCCAAATAATTGCCCACTCCTGCCCTACAGAGTCTCTGTGGTGCCCATAACCCAGAATAGAGCATCTTGGCGCATGCTTTTTTCTTCATTTTTTTTCAAGAGCTCCAATATAACCAGCAGCTGTTCTACACCAAGGAGAGGGGGGTTCCTTCAAGTCCTCTCCAAGCTGACAGTCTTTCACTAGACTTCCTCTGGACTTACAAGTTCATCATGGTAACCAGGACCATCACAGCCACTAAAGAAAAATGTCTATGTGCAGGGACTCCAACCTGAGCCACCACAGTTGGAGGCTTCCTTTGTGTGAATAAGGCTGGTCCTAGCTGGCAATCTCTGGATCAGAGACCTCCTGGACTACAGCAGGAAAACTGGGTGGGCCTCTTAATGCTTGGCTAGCAGACAGGCTGTCCTGCCTCGGGTGTCTCAGCAGTGCTCCAAGGAGGCTGAAAGTGGTTCCTTATTCCCAGATCTTTATCAACGCTAATCCTTACACAATTAAAGGTTCTTAGTAATGAATTACACAAGCTAAAGAGTTAGGATATCACAAAAATGTATATTTACTAATAAAAATATAAAATAACAGCATGTATCATGTATATTGCCTTGAATAAAGAACTTAGACTATGCTGGGATTATGGGGTAAAATCTTTTTTGCGTCATCCCAAACCACAGGTCTCCACCACCAAAAGACTTTTTGAAGAATTCTCCATGACCTCTGAAAGCCTGCCTCCTTTCGGCCTTCAGAGTGGCAGCAGTGGGTTGGTGTAGATGGCAATGCCTGACTTGACTCTGCTGCTCAGTTTTCATCTGCCAACCTGCCAACTGACAGCACCCCAGGCCTGTGTTCGATGTACAATGCCCCAAATAAAGGTAAAATCCCTTTCAGGTCACCCCAAAACACATGTCTATACCACTGGGAGACATTTCTGAATAAATCTGAGCAAGGAACTGCCTGATTCAAAGCTCAGTTTCTGAGTGCCAGGCTGCCAGCTCACAGGCTTCCAAACCTGAATAAGGAGCTAGGTTTGGGCTAGGATTACAGGTGGAAATCCTTTTTGTATCACCCCAAAGCACATGTCTCTGGCATCAGAGGACTCTTCCCAGGGTTCTTGGGGGTCGTCCTCCGATGTCAGAGCTGCATGTAGTGCGGTGGCCTGAAAAGGATTTTCACCCATAATCCCAGCTCAAACACAGTTCTTTATTTAGTGCTATATACATAGCACACAGGCCTAGGGGGGCATCAGTGGGCAGCCTGGCATGTATTTTTTTTTTACTATTTAAAATATATTTATATATATATAGAGAGAGGGAGAGAAAGAGAGAGAGAGAGAATTATGCATATACATCCGCTATCATAAACTTTCCATCACACATCTTAAATTGCATTAAGAAACCCATGTTCCCATTACAATAAATGCACCTTCTACCCTCCCCTAACCCAAACATGGTCACTTAGTCCAAGCCCCTGTCCTTGCGGCCATCACTTCTGTTGCGGTTGATCGTGTTGTTGTCCTTCTCACAGTCTCCAGGGCCAGTTGCGTTTCTGTCCTCTTTGTTCTATCTGTTGCTTTGGGCCAGACAGCGCCCTGCTCAATTTATTCAGAAATGTCTCCCGGAGGTGTAGAGTCTGTTTTGGAGTGACCCCAAAAGGATTTTGCCCTATAATCCCAACCTAATCTCGGGTCTCCGTTCAGGGCTTTGTACTTGATGCACTCTTGTTATTTTACATTTTTATTAGTAATTATGTTTAATTTCTATGACATCCAACGGGAACGAGGACTCACTTCAGCCTCGTTTCCAGTGACCCCTGCGGCAGAGCGGCCGCTACCTGCAGCTCCGGAGCTCCCCATTAGGCCCAGAAGGGATCCGCGCGCGGCAGCCCCCGCACAGCCCGGAAACACCCGCGAGCCTTGTGCTGGGCGGGACCTGCCCCGGGACCTGCCCCCGAGCTCCGGCTCCGCACCCGCGCGCGGGGCTGTCGGGAAGGCCGCGGAGTGGGGCGGGTCCCGGGGCCTGTATCGGCTGCGTCGTCCGCCCGCCCGCAGGGTTGCAAGATGGCGGTGGCGCGTCTGGCTCGGCTGGTCCTGGGTCCGGGAGCGGTTCGGGGTCGAGGGGCCGTGGCGGGGTCGCTGCCGCGCTGCGCCGGGCCAGGCCGAGCGCCGCGCCGGCTCTTCAGCAACCGCAACATCCTGGTGGAGCTGGAGGAGGGCGCGGGTGAGCGCTGCTCCCGGCGGCGCGGGTCACCGGGTTGGCAGAGGGCCCGAGCGCCCCGGCCGCTTGGGTGCGGGCCTCGCTCTTGGACGTTTATTTGCTAGACCAGGCGCAGGCCCAACCCATGTGCCCAGGCCCTCTGCGCGGAGCTGCGGTTCTCAACCTTTTTTGTACCAGGACCCATTTGTAAATATCGACGGCCAGTCCTGACCCAGTGCCCGCAGGCCCCAGCACCCCAGTCTGTGGGGCAGGGGGGCCCCAAGCTGCCCCTGGTAGGCTGGGACTCTGCCAGTGCTAGGGAAAAACTGCAGTTTCCCACATTTTTCTCCTTTACAGGAAAATCCATTTTTAAAGTTCGTTCTGACCCTTATACTCTTGGGACCCACTTTTGGGTCATAACCGATGGGTTGGCAAACACCGGCATAGAGCGCTGGGGGAAGCCCTGTGGCCCTGACTCCTGCTGGAGCTGCTGGAAGGGGAGAAATGTGGAGTGGGTGCATTGCCACTGCTGGGAGCAGCAGAGCCTGCTGGCATGTGACGCTGTGCACAGTCTGAGGGTACTTCATGGGCTCTGCAATGTTCTGTTCCAAAGCTGAGTTTGACCTGAGTGCCCAGGAGGGGGAGGAGGGAAGTAGTGTCTGAGTTGTTGCTCCTTTAAAAGAAGGGAGGCTGGGCAGTGAGAGAGCAGCGGCAGGGGCCTGGCCCCAGTGAAGGGGGAGCTGAGACTTCCAGGACAGAGTGTGCTAGTGCAGAGCAGCTGCAGATCCTGAGTGACTGGGGCTTACTGGTTTTAGGGGAGTGGGGAAGCCCTCAGTTGGCCTGGATCTCTAGGCAGGGTTTCCACATTGCAGTGATAGTTTTAGACAGGCATAGTGCACAGTAACTGGCTTGAATAGGGTTTGGGGAGGGAGCAGGTCAAGGACACAAGAGGACACAAGGACACAAGTAAGGAGGGGTGTTATGGATTGTTTCTGAAAGGCATAGGGGTTAGGAAAGGGTTGGCGTGGGACCCTTCCTGGGACCACGGGGATACAGGGGAACTTGGTGGCTGGTTGGAGGGAGATGAGGCCAGGGCTCTTGAGAGCTCCCTTCCGGAATCTAGGCCAAGGAAGGTGTTTCCCCTGAGGTGGTGTAGGAAAGAAGGCAGGGCTGTGTGGGAAGGTGGCGCTAGTAACAGGACTCAAACAAGGGAGTGCTTTCTTCTCTGCACCAGCCCACTGGTTTCCCAAGAGGTTGGGAAGTAACTTTTGGATCTGAAGTGAAGGTGCCCCAATACTTCCAAGTTCTTGGAAGAGAAGAGGAGGCAGGAGGGGAAATGGCAGTGTTAAGTTGTTCACCCAGAGTGTGCGCCCAGACAAGGGGGAAGTCTCAGCTCTTGGGTGAGGAAGGCTGAACACTGCAGCCTTAACAATTTTTAAGGTAGCAAAGTGCAGCGATTTTAACACCAAGGAAGTGATGCAGTTGAGGTCAACCCCTTAACTTTAACTTGTCTCTCTCTCTTCTCCCTTCATGTATTCCTTGTGTTACAATCCTCAGATACATGATCACATGCTATTTCAGTCACAAAGTTTTTGCCTCATTTGGTTGGTAGGACAGATAGTGCTCTGCCAATGAGCAACGATTCACTATCTCTTTCTATTCTTGCCTTCATGGCATGCCAAGGAGACTTTCTGTGGCTTTCATCTCTGCATATCCAGGCATCTTGCAGACCTTGATGGGTTTGTCCTTGTGAAGACAAACCTCCAGTGAGGCTGGGAATTGTTATTCCTGTTCATGCAGAATAGTGTTGATGGGTGTGTCCACACCACACACATGCACCTTTCCTAAGGTATCGCCCACCTCAGGAGCAGGGCTTGCTTGACCCCCTCGTCAGAGTGGGACCAACTACAGCTGTCTGCTTGTTGCTTAGGAAGATGATGTCAGTTATGCTCAGGTCATGGTTGGGTGCATTTTTACACTATGGGTTAGTTAGGCTTTGCCTACACAAGAGAATTGTAGCAGTTATACAAGTAAATTATACCCACATGGGTGCTCTGATTCCAAAAAATTAAACTGAAAAATGCCCTGAGGAGTGGACAGTGGTTTTCAAAAAAATTAGATTCAAGGCAGCCCTCAGGAAATGCAAGCTATCAGGTTTCACTCATTTTTTGACTACAGAAAAGTAATAGAGCAATTCTTCTGTTGCAAAGAATTTAGGAAGTTTTTGACACTATGGATGTCTATTTCAGATCTCTGGGTTAATCTTGTGAATTGTGCAGGTGTTTGTATCCTTAGTAGCTAATCTGAAAAAAGCCTGTCGTGAGCTGAATTGAGAGCATCCAAATGGCAATACCCAGTAAGATGCTATTGCATGAGACTGGAGCGTGCTACTTAGTGGCCCCGCAGGTATCACTGAGGTTATTCCTGGTGGGTTCTAATTCCTCTTATGTTTACTGGGGTGCAGGGGTAGCTGTGATGAAGATGAAGAGTCCTCCGGTGAACAGCCTCTCCTTAGACTTCCTAACAGAGTTTTCAATAAGCCTGGAGAAACTGGAGAATGACCGAGGCTGCCGTGGAGTCATACTGACATCTGTACGTGTTATACTTCAATAAAGATATCCTTTCTGGGGCCACCTCAGCTAGCTAGTGGGAATGCAAAGTGCAGCTGTATGCAGGACCCAACCTTGTTTCTTGCTCAGTTGAGTCCTTTTGCTTAGGGGTGGGTGCACCGATAAGAGATTTTGGGGGCCAATACAGATAGCCAGTTTTTAAGGAGGCATATTGGCGGATTTCCAATACAGCTGTGTGCAGCCGGTAAATCTGTTGCAGTGGAAGGGGAGGGAGAAGGGAAGAGGCATGGGGGAGGGTGCAATGCCCCCGTGGTGAGGGAGGGTGGGGCTGGGGCAGGCACTGCCTAGCTGGGACAGGGCAGGGCACAGGAAAGCCACGGCTGGTGGGGGGGGCAACTGCTGCTGTGTGCACCATGGGAGGGCATGAGGGGCAGGGCACGTGCCCCTGGATCTGT